CCCCAAATTTCCTAAATCCACCCCTGATGCTGACAGAGAAACTTTAATACGCTAAAGTTTTAAGTAAATCTAGCATTATGTCACCACTTTTTTACCACATCCAATGAACAATGCATATTTAAAACGCTTAACCTTCCTTTTTCTACCTCAGACATGATCATGTGATGTTTAAAACTTGTTTTATTTCCCTCTTTATTTAACATCCGTGTCATTAGAACATCTGCTTCGCTTTGAACGTGTTTACATGAACCCACCTCACCTTAATACCAAACTTGGGACGTCTGCTCCTGGAGCTGACGTCACCCAAATGAAACCACATTAATCTGGATCCTTATTGATCCTAAACACCGACACGCTCCGTTTACACTGTGGGAACAGGGAGCTGCTAAAAAAAAAACACATTTCCTGGCGGCAGCCTGTGGCTGCTCACAAGTTTAACCAGTTTAAAAAGTTTGTGATAACTTCTTTAGTAAACAAACGCTTGTTTTTACTATTTTCCCATAAATCAATGCGACACAGGGAGCAGCTAACCAGTTTACAGAAGAGAAGCAGGTTAACTTTACTGTTATAATCTTTAATAAAACATTTATTTACTTATTTATTTATTTATTTTAAATAAAGCAGCACTTCGCTGTTAGTTTTATTTTTCTTTTTCTTTAAAGAACAATAACTTCCACCAGCAGAAACTCTGTGACTGAGCTGAATATTCCAGAGGAACTCAGACTGTTTCCCAGGCCTCGATCCATGGCAGGATCCCGGACTGTCCTCTGGGATCAGTCGGCGGCTTTGGACCCGAACAGAACCACCGAACCGCAGACAACCTCCATTAATGACGCTAAACTCCTCGCTAAGCGGCTAATCGCTCCTATCGGCGGGAGTTTGCGCACTTTTCGCAACAGTTGTCAACTTTTCCTACCTGCACGGAATCAGCGGCCATCTTGGATTCGCCTTTGAATCAAATCCTGCGGAGGGGGGGGGCTCCGAAAACACCGCTTGCTTCAAGTTTCCCTCTCTGGCGACTGAAAGACGGGATTATTTGGGCCAAACCATCGCTAACACGGGGCTTCCCATGCCGTCCGAGCTCTTCCTAAACGCGGGGCCTCAGCGTCCAGATGGAGTCCCGGAGGGTGGACTGGCGCTCATATGTAAAAAAAATAAAAACTAAGGCAGAAATGTCCCGCTGGAGAGAGAGGGGGGGAGGGAGGGAGGCGGTGATTGGAGTGGAAGCGTCCGCCCAGAGGAGCCGCAGAGCTGCGGAGGAGGCTCCCACTGCTGGCCGGCTCTGGGCCGGACAGGGGCGCACCTGAACACACCGAGAAACTGGTTTTATGGAAGAGGGTTAGGACCAAAAAATAGATAAAGTTAACTGATTCTTAAATATTATTTCAGTTTAATCCCAGAATTCTGACTTTAATCTGAATTCTGTTTTTAATCTCAGAATTCGGACTTTATTTGCTCACAATTCTGACTATAATCTCAGGATTCAGATTT